CGACTTGGCCAATTTATTTGAGTGGTCAAAAGTGTTATCAGATATGATACCAACGAGAGTACGGGAGTTTGACAGAGCTAAAACTATACGAACGTTAATATGCAGATATACAAACCAACCTATATTTCTGGTTTACTCCCAAAGACATCCAAAATAACTTTAGCTGTTACGACATGTAATAATTGGAAAAGTGTCGATGACAACGACTTTTTTCCCACTGCAAACCTGAGTTTTATTTCGCATGAAATAAACGGTATTACAAAAAATGGTAGATGGTGTTTTTATAGTCCTTCCGGTGAAGTGATCCGGATCCATGTCAAACGTAGTTTCTTTGCCAATACTGACCGTTTATGTATGCAGCCAACAATACCACGGGCTGAATGCAAAGTGCCTATTATTGAATGCAAAACAACAATGGCACAATGGCACCAATTATAACACAACAAATGATTTCCGTAAATACGAAAGACATTCTAAGAAAGAACAGTGGTTTCGTTTGGCTTTGCCAAACAAAGACTGAACACCTGGATGACAAGAAGATTTATGGACTTTTGGCAGAATCTGTCATTTTATTCATCATATGCAGAGACTCGGAATGTCGAAAGAGAGTGTGTGTCGCCTCTGTTTGGAAAATGATGAAACAGCAGAGCATATACTTCGTGCCTGCCCGCTGGGGACCGAATCAGCTTTTTAGAGTGTGGCAGAGCCGTACTCCTACCATCTGATCTGAAAGATCACTCACCATACAAACGAATCGGCTTCGTTGAGAAGCTGGGTTTATTTGGTCGAGTGTGAATAGATGTGAGCCACAATAAACCCTTGCGAGTTGCGGTGGAGAGTCGAATAGACCCACTCACTTTGGATCTAACCTAACCTAAGAAAGTCTGGTAAGAAGTACCAATAGAACTATGAAGGATATAGCCGAGTGGATGACAGCGAAACAACTCAAGCTTGCCCCTCAGAAGTCAGAGGTAGTACTGCTGGCAGCAGGCAGAAAACTGAAAAGTAACACAATTGAATTGGAGGAAACGAACATCCGTAGCCAAGAATCTGTCAAATACCTGGGAATCCACATGGATCGAATGATGAAAATGGGAGCTCATGTTAGAAAAATAGCAGAGAATGCGGGAAAAGCCATAAGCAACATAAGCAGGATAATGCCCAACATTGGGGGTCCTCGAGAAGGTAGCAGAAGAATGATATGCTCAGTCGCCCAGTCGATCATGCTATATGGAGCAACGATATGGAAAAGAGCCATGGAAAAAAAGGTATTTAGAAATATATTACTCAGTGTTCAACGGAAAGCAGCCATAAAAATAGCGTGTGCATATAAAACAACATCAACTAAAGCTCTGCCGATGATTGCAAGAACCCCCCTAATAGATCTGCTGGCGGAAGAGAGAACAATGGTACAAAACAACGTATCAAAAGGGTTAGCAAGGTTACAAATTA